GTACCACGCACTTTGAATGGCTGCATCTGTACATCCCTGACACATTTATGCATCACTCTGATTCCTTTCACTGGAGACCAATTCTGAAGCTCATTCTGAAACAAATATCACAGCCAATTTAATTTCCAATAGCAATATTTTGAGTGTTCCTCAAATACTATACCTTAACAGCTGCATAAATGGCCTCAAGAGGGAGGTCTTCTTCGCTTTAATCCCAATTTCTGCAAAATCCTCTTTAGTCGATGATCTCTAAAAAAATGCATTGTGTTATTGTGCAACTTGAAGAGAGTTCAAATGTAAATGGTTAAGTCCATCTTGCCATACTGCACTGAAGATATATATATATACAAGGATAGAAGACCTCATTTTCAAACACAATTAAAGGGATTCATTAATATAGTAGTTTAAGCATATACAAATTAACTCTGTAAAATGTAACTGCCTAAAAGCAAAAATATTTTAAGTAAAATTCCTTTTTTATAACAGTTTATCAAAAATTGTCCTATGTCAGTGAAACCAAGAAAAATGTGAGGAGCTGGCAAAATTATTACATGGTGACAAAAGTTCATCAGCGGTGTAGTTCAGTGTGAACACGAAAACATGTCAAAAGCAGTTTATGGTGACAATCTCAAAATATGCGTTTTTGGCATAATAATAACTTTCAGATGTCTTACTGTCATGTGCCAATGTGGTCTTGCACACTCCGGATAGGGCTTGTCATTACACCTTAATCTACAACATTTAAAAATATTTATTTTCACAAAATCGTACAAAAACATTCAGAAGATATTATTTGTGCAGGAGCTGTTACTTAAAATATTTTTATTTCTATTGACAATAAAAAGTGGCCTCCTGAAATAAATATCAGATAACTGCAAAATGTCTTTTGCTTGATATTGAAATTTAATTTTTTGGATGAGATTCATAGGTTAATGGACCTATGGTTCATAGGTTAATCTAACTTCATTAGATTTTTTACGATATAAAAACTGTATCAAGTATTTGTTGAACGTGGGTGATTTTATTGTATTTTTACTATTTTAAAAACATTTTTAAAAATATTTTGAAAAAGCAGCTCACGTCGCTGTCCTCTTTAGCATTGGTCCTACAGAAATGATGGTAAAGAGGCAATTGATCCAATTAAATTGTAGACTGGGCAGAGTCTTTTGTGATTGCGTCACCAGTAAATGTGCAGGGAGTGTATGAAGGAGGGAGGAGAGTTTTGTAGGATGAAGGAGGATGTTCCAATATGTACACTGTATGTTTTCATTCACTCCTCTGGAAGGAATTAAGATAAAAGCCGAAACCCGAAACAGTTGTAGTTATAAGAGGAAATGTTTCTAACAAGCACTCCTTGTTAGTATAGTGGTGAGTATCCTTGCCTGTCATGCAAAAGACCAGGGTTCAATTCCCTGCCGGGGAGGCAGGTGGCTTTTCTCCAGTCAGATTCAAATCTCTTGCGCAGTGTGATTTTCAATAATTTTCCTTTTCTGTAATTTTCTGATGACTATTCCAATGGAGCACCCTGTCAGCTCCTCAATTATGAAAATCTGCCTGTGTGTTTGATTATTGTTTTTTTTTGATAGTTCGATATCGATCATAACAGTCTCCAGTCGATGGGGCGGAAGGTATACCTTTTCACAAACATACAGCCCCATGTAGTATAGTTCAAAGTCAAATTTCTACATTTCTACTGATATACTCTGTGCGTTAATTCCAATACCAACTTCCAGTCCAACTACTAGAATCGTTTTTACATGGGATGTGAAAAGGAAAAGAAAGGCAAAAGGTGTTGGGTGAGTGTTCTGACACAGAAGAGTATTACACCCAACAATATGGAACTGAACGCTCTTGTTGTCATCGCGTTTCCTGTACACAAATCCAAATAATAAAAAATAAAAAGAGTGGGAAAGAGCTGGTGAAGTAGTCTGACCAAGGAAGAAGCAGAATAAGTAATTGTGTTTGTACTTCTGATCTATTTTTGTACTACAAATGTTTAATATAGTTTATGTGCTTTTCTATTTATTGTGTTGAATTTGAGGATGGATTTATTTTCTTAAGAACATTTCTGTATGATTGATATATTTTGTAATTTAGTTTTTTTCTATTAATAAAGACAAAAAAGCTACAGAAAGCATTTGGTTGAGGTTATTGCCAAACAAGGAGGTTCCACAGTTCCACTAGTTACTAAATATAAGGGTTCACATAATTTTTTCATCAATGACCTTGATTGTTTAAACTATTTGTTCAATAAAGATATGAAATGTAAAATGCTGTGTGTGTTGTTTGTTAAACAAGACTGTCTTTATTATTATGACTCAGATGCAGATTAGATATCATTTGTGCAGAAATCCAGATAATTCCAAACGGTTTACAAACTTTTTTTCACAACTGTATAAATGTAAGTGTTATAGAATTTCTGTGGGTACATTTGTTGCACTTTATCTTCAATAGGTACGCTGTGCAAACTTTCGAGGTCAAATTCTTCCACGAGGGGGGCACCTTTAAAGTGAAGATGACAGCACCAAAACTTTTTTGCGCTCCCTCTCTTTAAAGCCCTGGCCAAATACGAAGACAGTACGTAGTTATAATTCAAACTGAATTAAAAACTACACATCCCAGTTAACATGGCGGTGCTTGTGATCCTTGTGTTTAACCAATGAAACAGGGCAAAGATCAGTCACAAGACTTCCCTAGCTACAATACAAATATATTTTTGTGGTAAGGGGGAGCAAGACATCAGTATTTACTGCTATTAATTAGTGTAAGATTTATAGTTGAAATCTGAGCCAAAATATAAAGTTAAAATCTCGACAAACAAAGCAATGTAGGAAACGCGCACTTTTTCTGCAACAGAAATACACATGGAAAAGAAATCCTTTTTGTCATCTGAAATCAGTTTCGATCAAGGTCTCCAAAACGAACAAGAAAAAGAGCAGTTTCAGAGAGCAGTTATGTTGTGTTTATGTAGAAAAAGTGATAAAATTTATGAGCAATCTAATTTCTTATTCATTTAAACAGTGAAATTTCAGATGCAAAAGATTGCACCCGAGACAGCACTATCTCATATCTTGTCATAGACATTCAGGAAAGGGTGAATGAAAGAAGTTATGTCAAGTGCAATAATTCGGTGAACAATAACGAAAAAACATCATCAAAAGGGAAGAGAATACAGAAGTGTTACAGAAGAAAAGAAACAAGAGACAAGGTAGTTACTGTGCATTGTTTAAGAGTGTAATTGCTGTGGGAATTAAATATTTCCTCAGTCTGTTGGTTTTACACCTAGGAGCACAGAGATGGGAGAAGTGTGAGTTCGCAATGGAGGGTGTGAGACACACACTCCCCAATGCTTTTGGCATTTGTCAATGACCAGTCCCAAAGTACTTATAATCATCGACAATTTCAACAGGCTGACCATCAATTGTAGTGGGTTGAGGGTGTATGGTATTTTTCCTAAAATCAATAACCAGTTTCTTTGTTTTTAAACATTTAACTTTAGGGAGAACTCATTGCACTAGTTAGTAAAATCATCTAGAATAGGCCATTTAGAATTAAGGACGTTAAAGTGCTAGAGATGTAAATAAATTTAAAAATACAAATATGTACATGAGCAAACAGTTTTAGAAATGGAGCAGGTGTTACTTTGAAATAAGTGAACAGAAAAAAGCCATGACTAGACATAGTGCAGAAGAGGGATGAAGGAACACTTGCAAAAGCTTAGATATACAAAAAATCACAGAAAGGTATGTTACAAAAGAACATGCAAACATGAAAGATTTGGCAGAGAATGAGGGGCTTGAATAATCAGGTGCATTTCTGGCAGGGAGAGTATGAAGGCTTGATGGGATAGATAGAAAATTAGCACACATAAAAAACAGCAATTCTGTCAGAGAGACTTATATGAATTAATAGCAACATCGTTTCATAGAGGGCTTCTCAAATAGGTGGACATTCAGGTAGATTGCCAGGCGAAAGTATTTGTAAATATATTTTGTCAAAGCAAGTCAGTTTTTTGCAACACATAAAATACAGTTTTCCAAGAAATTAATTTAGCCTTTGTCACTAGTGAAACCACTAAATAAAGACATAAATATAGAAATCTAAAGATTTTTTTATTCAATGTTGGTAGCAGGATGAACTGTCAGGTTGAGCTAAGTGTATATTTGTTGCAGAGTTGCTGCAAGATGTTTACAATGAAAACAGGCTTTTAGAAATGACTCATTTCAAGAAGAAGATTTTCAGAATAATTATAAATCTAGCAGGATAGAGAAAGCACAGAAAATAGGTAGTTAGATTGATTAGATTCGTATGCAAAGCCATTTAGCAAAGAAGGTCTGAGAAGACTGATAAACTAGTATACTTTAGATCTTTTTTTCTGAACCAGGGAAAATCTGATCATGTTTCTCTATTACAATAATAAAAAGTCGCATCTCAAAGCAATACAGTAGGTGTTAAAACAGTTATAAGGACCACAGATTACAAAGTAAATATAATAAAGACAAGCAGTTAGAGGTGCTACAGAAATTAGAAAATGAAGCAGTTGAAGAAAATGAAGACACTAAATAAGTCTTCTGAAAATAAAGGTTTTGAGGTTAGATTTAAATGCACTCAGGGTAGGTGACTCTGATATCACTGGGGATACAAATCCAGAGCTCTGGGGTGCAGCTAGAGAAGGTCCTGTCACCCACAGAATGTAGATGTTTTTGAGGACATCTACAAGACCAGAGTCAGGCGGACAAAGGTTGCAAGGTGGGGAGTAGACAGATAATAAGACAGATAGTTACTGAAGGAGGATGAGAATTTTGAAGTTGACTCGAAACCTGATAGGAAGCCAAAGACAGGTGTAATGTGATTGTTTGCTTGTGACCCGATCAGAATTCTGGCTGCCAAATTCTGAACATACTGGAGATTGCTCAGTGTGGATTTAATTACCCAGTAAATGGGATGTGCATTTTTTAATTCTAGAAAAAATCCTTTCTTGGTTTTTCTAGTTCCCTTTAAAAGAAATTAAATCAGTGTGATGTTTCCACAATACAGATTGCTACATAGCCTCTATTTACGTATATTTGTGATGTAAACAAATTAATGCAAGCAGTTGAGAATTTAAGTGTTATTGCGGTTATAGCAAGACTAGAGATGTATGTAGGAGGAAGATAATGTTGGGGAAGTTGAGGAATACACTGATAACAAGAACACTTCCTAATAGGGTTAGGCGTACTTCTGACAAAATGACAGGAGATGTTATAGACCGCAGAGGAAGATGATGAACTTAACAGACTGAATGTTTACATAGATACAGGAATGAAGATTGTATTTTAGATTTTGTGTAGTTACTAGCATTGAACTGTGTGCTGGATGCACACAATTTGAAGGAATGGGCAAACATAGCTGATGCTGATTCACAGAGCCAGCATCTTAAGATGTTTATATTTAGAGGCAATTTGTTTAAATAACTAACTAGTTATGGATACTGATGTGCAAGACAGACAGAAAGGCTTTTTCCTTAAGCCAGCACTATAAAATAATTTATCCTCAGTGAGATGCTTGCATGCATCTCATAGTGGGTTTCTAACACTGTGTATAGTTACACAGTGCCTTTAGTTCCATCCCTTTTCTAAACTCTTTATCCAGTACAGAGGAGTTGGAGCCTATCCCAGCAAGCAAGTGATGCAAGTCAGAATACACCCTGGACATAGAGGGTCAAAGAAAATTATTTATGTTGTTTAATTTTAAACACGAAGTTATAAATGCAGATGCAATGGGTGCCATTCGCACTCTGTGCTAGAGAACACTCATTGTTTATTGCTCCTCCTCCCTTTCTCGGTGCTGCCTCCTCCTCTGACGGAGAGCAGTGGGCAGTGCACTATATTCCCAGCCTCTGATTGGAAAAAAAGACCTGCTGATCTGCTTGACAGCACAGGAAGAGAAAAGAATGTGATTTTTCTGTATGAGACGCGTGTATTGTTTATGAAATTCAAGTATTTTAAATGTTTAATTAAAAAGTAAAAAACTAACAGCTTACACAAAGTTCTAAGCTGAAGAAAATTTACCCATTTACATAGTTAAAAAAACTGTTTTTTCACTATGTAAACCCATTTTTTATAGCTTTTAAAGTCATGCAATGTCTAAATTAGGCAAGAACAGGTCATTGTATCTTATTTCGATTTATTTTTTAAAAATAAAAAAAACGCTTGCCCAGCATACTTTCGGTGGTGCACCTGTAGAAGTTGGTCAGGAAATGTGATGGTATGCTGAACTTTTTCAGTCTGTGAAGAAAGAATAGGCGCTGCAGTGCTGTCTTGGCTACGCAGCTGGTGTGGTGGGACCAGGTTAGGTCTTCTGTGATGTTAGCACCTAGGAATTTAAAATTTCTGACCCTCTCCACTGCAGACCTGCTGATGTAAATGGGTGCATGGTCTGCTC